AGGTGGTATGCTGTGGCCAAGCCCTGGGGTGGTCGGGGCTCAGCTGTGCACCCCCAGCCCCTGATCTTGCTTGTGACAGCAGGGCAGCCTCCACTGCAATATTGAGGAAAAGGCATCCTCAGGGATCCTGTGATTGCGGCAAATGCTTTTATGGGGCAGGTGGTCCCCAGCCCTTTGGGAGCCCTTTGAGAACTACAGCACTAGGAGAGCAGGGACATCAGTGGCCACATAAGTGCACACCGAATTCGTGTGGTGCCCAGCTCAGAGGGAGAGGACAATGAGGAGATAAGTACCAGGGCAGAGGTCTGGAGGCACCTCTCAGAGGTGGTGTCGGTGCTGAGACTCAAGCCCCTGAGGTGGATGGTGCTGGGCATGTGAGCACGAGGGACAGGGGAGGGATGGCCACACGAGGCACAGGCCGAGATGAATTGGACCCCTAGGCCCTGGAGCTGGATGCCTAGGTCCCAACCCTGACTCTGTGTGCCTTTAGGCGAAGCATGAACCACTCCGCACTTCAAGCTTTTCCTCTTACCAAGTCCTGTGAGGAATGGGTGAGGTGGAGTTTTATTGAAATACTTGATACAGGCTGGGTGTGGTGGCACACACCTGTCCTCCCAGCACTCTGGGAGGCTGAGGTAGTTGGATTGCAAGTTGGAGCCCAGCCTGGGCAATTTAGCAAGAATCTGTCACACGAGAAAAAATGAAGAGCCGGGATGTAGCTCAGCACAAAGGCCCTAGATTTAATCCTCAGTACTAAAAAAGAAAAAGAAAAAAAAATCCTGGCATGTAGAAAGTGCTCGGTAGACATTCACAACTTGTGTACTGCATCTTTTTTTTTTCTGGTTTTTCTTCTATGAATAATGGGGAATGCATTAATTAGGACCTTCTTGTTTGAAGGGACAGCAGGCCAAGTCACAATAGCTTCAACATCAGTAGGAGGAGGTCTTGGCTCAAGTAACTGAATGATAGAGCTTTAGCGGTATCATCAGACACAGTGGGATCCAGGCATGCCTCACAGCCAGGGGGACTCCATCTCTTCCTCCCAGCTTCTCCTCCCTGCAGGGACTACATTCCCAGGCTTGCTGTCCCCACCAGGGGCACGGTGTCCACCTAGCCCCTACAGGTCTCCAGCTTGTCCCACTGTCCTGGCTCCATCCAGGGCCCATCTCTGAGCCCCTCACGGTGCCCTCAGAGGGTGGTTGGAGTGGGAAAGAGGAACTGATATGGATTGATCAGCCATACTCCCAAATCCCTAAATCACTGCCCTGAGGCTGCCTGGGGCAGGGGGCTCTACCTAGGAAACTGGGGTGCAGTCACCACCACAAAGAGTCCCTGGTGGCTTTCCACAGGGAAGGATGGACAGTGCTCTGGCTGGTGCACAGAGAAGGGACAGGCAGAGGACAGCAGCTGGAAGCAGGCGAGGGTTGGGCCAAGGTCAGGAGCCCAGGAAAGGGGCGAGGTGGTGTGGCACGGCTGTGGAGGGCAGTGGAGTGCATGAGCAGTTACAGGGCCAGGGCTTGGTGGCAGCCTGGGCAGAGATAAGAACAGGCAGGTCCAGGGTAAAGGCCAGGATTTGGGCCCCGAGCCACTGAGCCAGGGAGTCTGGAGGAGGCAGCTCTGGTGGTGCCCCTAGGCACACCCCTCAGAAGTGACTGGAGGCGTTTCCCTGGAGAGTGGAACCCCAGCCCTGGGCATTCTTGTCTGATTTCTCTGAAACATGAGGATAAATAAGTTGACTGCCTGCTTTGCCCAGGAGATCGTGCTAAAACCAAAGGAGGCCTGTTCCCCGGGCCCCAGGAGGGCTGGAACCGGACCAGGAAACCTCGGGGGTCCAGCTCTTCAACCTCAAAACAGGAGACCTCATGGAATCCTCTGGCAGCTGGTGGCCAGGAGCAGCAGGTGTCATGGGGGGTGGGGACCAGTGAGTGCCCATCAGGTTGACAGGGCCCACCTCTGAGGACTGACAGCCAAGCTGTGTTGAGAAGTAAGAGGAGCACAGTGCAGCATGGAGAGAGAGGGCCCAAATGCAGGGCCCAAAGGCAGTGGAAGCCTAGGGAGTTGGTAGGCAGCCAAGCCGGGCTGGTATAAGGTGGGCGGGCGTCCTGGAGGTGGCGCTGAGTGGCACCTTCATAAAGGAGAGTGTAACCTCAGGTGAGGGGGCAAGTTGAGGCTTGGAGTGCCTGCCACCTGGCTCAGAGTGGCTTTGACAACTTCCCGAACTAGACCAGAATGCAGTGCTACCCAGATACGCTGAGGTCTTCAAAGGGGGTCACCCCTGGCCTTCTCTGATCACCTCCACATTGCCCATCTTGTCCCCACCTTGGAGGCAACCTTTATCACTCTGCCCAGCAGAGACTTCTTTGCATTTGGGCCCCTGGCCTGTCCCTTCCCCCAAGATGATGAGGACCACCATTCCATGCACTTGGGGGCTGTTGGGGAAGGGTGAACACTTGCCAGGGCAGGCAGAGGTCAGCTGGGGAGCAGGGGCTTGGCCTGGTACTTGGTGGTGAGGGGAAACACATGGGGCTTGGGGGCTTGCTCACCAGCTCCCTTCTCTAGTTCCTGGGGAAAGGAAGGTGACAGGACCATCAGTCCAGCCTCAGTGGACCTGGGTTGGCCTCGGAGCTGACAGGCCCCAAGTGAGGAGCAAGTGGGGGGGTTGCTTCCCATCCATTAGGCCCATGGCCCAGGCTACTCATATCTCGTGGACATTCTGCTCTCAGCCCAGTACCCACTTAGGCATCGTTAATATTTTACATTGCCTAGGGATCAATGTCTTCTTTACAGCTCACTGTTTATGGGCAGCCATTGAGGCTAACACTGGGAACCTGGAGGATGCTCAGGGGCACGAGGGAAACTGAGGCTTGGAAATGAGGTGGATGGCAGCCTCAAAAGGACCCTTGAGACAGCTTCCTTTGCATGCTCAGACAGACCTATCACTGCGCAGCAGAGCTCTGACGGTCCATCATGACGGGCTTCCAAACCTCTGCCACATGCCAGCCCTGCCTCATTCAATCTTTGACAAACTCCTGGGGAAGTCGATTATTGCCATTTTATGGATGGGGAAACTGAGGCTTGGAGGGGTTAGGTACTACTGAGCCCTCAGTCAGGCTATTGCAGCAGATTCTTTAATCTTCCCAGGCTTTTAAATATTCTAACAAGCCTAGTATTCCCTCTGCGATCCTTAGTCTCTCTGCTTAAATCTCTTCCTTAGGTCAGTGGGTACTCAATGGTTAACTGGAAATAAAAGCTGTACATTTATAGTCTTTAAAAATATTACCAGACTCAAACCCGTAACCAGACTGTGAAATTGTGAGGTTGGGCTGCAGGCCTCCTTTCCATGTTGGTGTCTACAGGGAAAGTTCCGGGGTCCCTGGCCTGGGTTATACTAGTCCTCTTTGCTAATTCACTCTCTGGGTTTCCTCAGCTGTTAAACGGGGGAAGAGGCGCCCGTTGGGTACACCCAAAAGCTGGGCCAGATGTGCGCCCTGCAGCAGAGTCCATTAGCACACGCAGTGGCCCTCCATCCCTCCTGGGCACCAGCTCTGCACCTGGGCACGAGCTCTGCACCTGGGCACCAGCTCTGCGCCTGGGGCCAAGCACTTGCTCAGCATTTGATGAATGCCTGGCTGGGTAGCCCGCTCGGGAAACGCAATTGTTCAGGCCGTAGGTGCAAAATGGCTCCCACGAACAGACCAGGAGCTGCGCTGAAGTCCTCCCTCTATCAGGGAAGATTGATTGTCCACAGCTCTGGACGCTTCCCGCTGTCTAAACTCCGGGTCGGGTCGGGCGAGGACGCTGCCGTGCGAAGCGCCGCTGGGAGGCAACAGAGTCTCGGCTCCCTCCCTCCAGGGCTTCGGGGCTCCACCCTGCCACGCCCGGTCCTTCCTCCTCTTCTCTCCTGGACTGCAGCTTTCCAGACTGTATCTCGTGCCCGGGGCCGGAAGGAAGCCAGCCACAAACTAATTAGCACGCCCTTGCCCTGCCCGCGCCTAGCACACTGCAGCCCTTTAGCAATTCCCCGCGGCCGGAAAGGTAGATCCGTCCTTTATGAGGAAGGTGGTTGCAAGCCCGTGACTCGGTCAAGGTCACGCGGCAAAGTTAGGACTTGCACTCAGCTCCGTAGACATTCGTGCCACAGCCCGCCTGCGCTTGCCCCTAAAGCCTGGGGTGCACGCAAATTACCAGAACTGGAGAACTTGTATACCAACTTCACTTTTAAAGGGGGCCAGATCAGGGCCAAGTTCCGTCTCCAGCCGAAGGCTGAGGTTGCGGGAAGTAACCCCGAGAGTGCAGGCTTCCCGGATCCTCCGCCCGCCAACTCATTGGGCTGGGGGGTGGGGCGGGGAGGCCAGGCTCAGCTCCCCTCCCCGAGTGCAGCGCGGCCCCGACTCGCGGCTGAGAGCGCCGCCTCGCGCCCTTCCTCCCGGGCACCTGGCTCCCGCGGCCCCTCGGCCTCTAACTCGAGCGGGCAGGGGGTGAAACCGCAGACCGCGCGGCCTCCGGGGGGCGGGCCGGGAGCCGTGGCGACATGCCAGGCTCTGTCCCTGGCCGGATCGCGTGGGGCGGGGTGGCTCCCTCCGCCCCTTCCTGGTCGAGCAGGGCGGGGGGACGCCGAGGACGCCTCCCCGAGGGGTCGCCCCGCCTAGGCCAATGAGCGCCCGGGGAGCCGCGATGGAGGCTGGGGCGGCTTGGAGCACCCGGGACCACCAGCTGCCGCCTCCGTGCCCCTGCGCCCTCGGGGCAGCAGCGGGGGTCGACAACGGCGCTGGGGCCGCCCGGGGATGGAGGCGCCGCCAACCTGCGCCGGCCCCTCGAGCTCCGCGCCGTGCCGCGCCTCGAAGTTTGCGAACTGATTGGGAAAGTTGCGCTTGCCTCGGCTCCCTGCACCGCACCCGAGCTCTCCCGGCAGGTCCCACTTGCCGCCGCCCTCCGCGGGGTCCCGGCCAGGCCAACACCGCAGCCCCGCCTGCGGGGGGCATGTGAGCCGCCGTCGCCGCCCCGAGAGGCCGGGCGGGCAGCGCGGGGCCCGGAGCCTCCCGAGGCAGCGCGCAGGCGAGGGGTGAGCCCCGGCCCTAGCAGCCCCGGGCGCCATGGGCATCCAGGGCATGGAGCTGTGCGCCATGGCTGTGGTGGTGCTGCTGTTCATCGCCGTCCTCAAGCAGTTCGGCATCCTGGAGCCCATGTCCATGGAAGGTAACGTGCGGCCACCGACCCTCAGCCGGGGCCTGCAGTCTCTGGGGAGGGAGCTAAGCCCGCGCCCTCGGGGACCCCGCGAGGAGCTGCTGGGGCGCGCTGGGCCCTGAGAACCCCTCTCGGGCGGCGGGGCGCTGGGCCTAAGATTAAGGAGGCAGAGAGGGCTCGGCTCTGAGGAGCCCCAAAGGGCACGGGACTAACGCGCTTGAAGACTGACACCTTGAGCCTGCATCCCTCCCTGGCTGTCCTAGCCTGCTGGTCTCAGGCGCCCTGGCTAGGGCCGCCCAGTGACAGGAGGTGACGCGGGTTGAAGATGACAGAAGGACCCTCACTCAGTGTGAGGCGCAAGGCAGCTGCCAGAGACCTGAAACCTCCACAGTGTGATAGGGCTGACGGCTTCCTCTGCACAGGGTGTCGAGTTGCAGCTTCGCAGGCGAAGCTCAGGCCTATGGGATCAGTAGCCAAATCTGCTGGAGCCACATATCCGCCCCCAATGAAATATTAAGGGAGGAGACGACCTACTCCTAAACCAGACACTCAGGCTGCCCTGGGAGCTGCTTCCCAGCCACTGGTAGGTCCTGTGCTCAGAGGAGGTCCTGCAGGGTGCTTCTGGTCCCCAAGGGACCCTGACACCCGGATGCAACCGCCCCTCCTCCTCCCAGTCCCAAAGATGCAGGTGCAGTCCTGCACCTCTGTTTGGTGGAGAAGGCACTGGCTGCCAGCTCTGAGGAGATGCCTCAGCACCCTGCTGACCTTTCCAGGCTCCAGCTCCTGGGACTGGAACCCAGAGGCCCAGAAGAAGGTGACCTGGCCCTCCCTCTAAGATGCCCAGCAGTTCCCTGGGCATGGGGATGGGCCCCAACTCCTGCCAAGGGCAGGAGGGGCACAGAGCCAAGAGGCAAGGCCCTCCTACTGCTCCAGAGCCCAGGGGTGGCTGGCTGCCTTCCTGAAGTCCGTGGTGACTGGTCACTGAGAAGCCATCTGGCTGTCACACCCCTTTCCAGAGTGAGTCCGTGAGACCGAGAGAGAAGGGACAAGTCAAGGCGGCCCCGGAGCTGCCTCCTTGAGCTTTAGGTTTTAGCTGGTGAGGAAAGTTGTCAGAGCCAGGCAGTCACTGGGTTGGACCCCCTGAGCCTGCCAGCTTGTGGGGAGTATTATACAGGTTCTTGGGACTGGATTAGGGATGGGGAGGGATGAAAGTTTCCCTGCTGGGCCCTGAGGACACTGCCTCTTGCAGGACATTTCTGTCCCCTGTCCCCTCCTATCCTTCACCCAGCTGGAGCCTGAGGTGGGGATGGGGTTAGGGGTGCTCAGGGAATCCATGGCTTTTCCACTGCCCTTCTGTTTCCCAGGCCCTCCTGGGACCACCAGGGACCAGCAGCAGGAGCACAGCCAGCCTGGCTCCACTTAGTTCCCAAAACAACCCCTCTGGCCTATCACTCTCAGGCCTGGGGCAGTCTGAAGTTTCCCTTTTCTATTTCTGGGGAGTGAGAGTTTCCTTACAAGGTGGGTAGCATGCCGAAGACAGCAAATAGTTTGTCCTACCTGCCCAAACCCCACTCCAGCTCTGAAGAGTTTCTCTTTGCAGGTATACGTGCCCTCTCGCACTCTGTGGAGGTCTGGGGTCTTGATGCAGTTAGGGGAACACAGAGCCCGAGCTGGGACCATCATCTCAGTAACGGGCTTTGAAATTCTTTGACCATGCTGAGCCTCCATGACACCATCTGTCAAGTGGGGCTGCTACAGGCTTTAACCAGTCCATGGGGCTTTAATGGCCCCCAGCACTGCTTGGTGAATAAAAAGTGTGCCCCCTTTGGGAGCCACTATTGTCACTAGTAACCAGCAAGGAGCCAGTTCCTTGTAATCACAGCTGCTGCCCCCTGCTTAGATCAAAGGAGTTCTAAGTTCTAGATGTCTGTGCGATGGCTGGGCAGTGTCAGAGGGTCTTTGATAGTCCAGGCACCCTGGGTATGAGCTGTTCCCAGTGCCCCAGGTTCCACCAAATCAGCACATGAGCAGCTGGGTGTCTCTTATCCTCAGTGTCTCGGGGCTTCGAATCTGTAAGGGGGCAGAGTTACCAACCGGGAGCGAATGGGACACCTCAGAGGGCCACCAGGGGGATCCTACCTGGGTGCTGGAACCTGGACCCTGCAGGGCTGGGCGGGGGCCGAAGCTGCTCTCTTGGCACCTGAAAGTCAATGTTTCCCGTGGGCGAGGGAGGCCCATGAAGGCCGGGTCAGGGCATTTTTGCAGGTTTGGTGTTTTTCCTGGAGGGATAAAACAGCCTTCTGCCTGGGCTTTGTGTTCCCAAAAGGTCCAGAGCTGGCCCCTGAGCCTCCTCACTGAGCCTGGCTGCAGGCTGGGGTGGGGGCTGCTGGGCCCCAGGACACAGGTGCTTACCCTGCAGGAGCCCAACCCTCATTACCCCAGTTGTCCCCATCTCCATCATGAGGCACTGAATGTCCTGGTCTCTTTGTCAGTTTGTCTTCTGTCTGCCAGGTGCCAAGCTCGTGGGCACAGGGACCATTCTGCCCACAGTGGTGCCCTGTGCCTGGAGCATGCCTGGCACCTGGTGGAGCTCGGGGAGGATGTGGGAAATCTGGAGGAGGGGAATCTTTCGGAGGAGGAGGAGGAAAGAACACTCGGCTTCTCCAGCCCTTCCCCAGGAGCCTGCAGCCACATCCTGGCCACATGGCCATGGAGAGGCCCCTAGGGGGCTGGAGGTGGGGGTGTCAGTGTCGAGGGGGTGAGTGTGGCTGGAACAGAGCAAATTCGGAGCTGCAGCCTGGACTTGGTGGAGAGGATAGCCAGGCTGTGAGGGGCTTTGATTCTCAGTGGGCTGCTTGCTGTAATCATCTGGCCAGCTTTTAAAATATCCACTGTGCCACCCCCACACATGGGGCGGACCCCAGACACTGGGATTTTCAGAAGCTTTTCTCATGAGCAACCAGAGCTGAGAACCCAGGGTAAGGTCTTCATGGATAGGGGTTCTCAAAGTGTGTTCCCCAGTATCAGTACCTGCCTCACCTGGACACCTTCAGGTTGCACCCCACCTCTGCAGCTTACTCTTACCCACATGTGCCCAAGTTTGAGTGCCCAGGCTTGGCGACCATTGCTCTGTCCAGTCGTGTACCTCCCTAAGGGCCTTCACCCTGATCTATGTCTCTAGTCCCTTTGATTGATTTATTCACATTTTGAGACAGGGTCTCAGTAAGTTAAGTTGCTCAAGCAGGGCTCAAACATGATCCTCCAGCATCAGCCTCCTAGAATGCTGAGATTACAGATGTGCGCCATGATTCCCCACTAGCTCCCCTTCCGATGGCCTCTTCCACTTCCAAGGACCCCCATCTTGCACTGGGCCCACCTGGACAACCCAGCACCCTTCCCCTGTTGTGAGGTCCACTGGCAATCCATGTACCTGCGTGTCGTGTGGCCAGACACACTCACAGGTTCCAGGGACTGGGATACGGATGTATTTGGGCAGCCATCATTCTGCCTGGCACAGTTGCTGTTTAAAAAAAATACAAGTGGAACATCCGAAAGATGGAGCAGCACGGCCTGGAAAGAGGGTGCCAGCCTTCAGCATTTGGTGGAGACATAGCACTGTGAGACTCCGGGGTCCCCAAGCCCTGACCCTCCAGCAGGCATCAGGCCTCCTGTGGTCATTGTGATTGTTGACCAGACCCATCCAGAAGGGACCACTGCCCTGCCTGGGCACTGTCTGCAGCCTGTCAAGTCTGTGATTCTTGGATTCCCAGGTATCTGCTCCTAAGCCAATCCTGGAGCAGGGGCAGGAGGCTAAGCCAGGGACGTGTAGCACAGGGGTGGTAGGAGACACATCTACAAGCTGGCATCTAAATGTATAGTGCAAGGTCCCGATGGAGTTCCCGCAGGCAGTGCTCTGTGACATTGAGGGCCACGCAACATCTTCTTGCCTCTTCATCACCTCTGATGGCACCAGCAATCACCATGTGGCTGGGCACAGGCTCTGCCTTCCCGCCTGGTTGTCAGTGGCTGGGGTCTGGGAAATCTGCAAGTCCCCTTCATTCCATTCTTTGTTGCTTCACTGTGGCACCTGCCGCCATGGTGGCCGTTCTGGAATGGAGATGAGAAAACCTTTCCCTGCATCAGGCACTTCAGTGGCACCTGTATCCACCTACACCTTGGCTCATTTTGACCCCCTTGTCTGCTGTCACTGGGGCTATATTGGAATATCACCTCTCTCTGACTCTGCCACCCCTCTGTGCCCACAGGTGTAAGCTGCAGGGAGTGGCAGGGCCAGAGTCAGCCTGCAGACTGCCCAGAGCCGTGGCCATTAAGGCCAGCAGGTGTCCAGGGGCTGCTGTATGGGGCAAGCGGGATCCTTGCTCATGTCCCCAAAGACAAGGAGAGACCCACAGTCAACCCCCAGTCTTAGCCTGCTCAGGCTGCCATGGCAGAGGGCTAGAAGTCTCAGACCAGGGTGCTGGAAGGGTAGGGTCTTGTTGAGGACTCTTCTTGCTTATGAGTGGCTATCTTCTTGCTCTGCTTCCCCACCTCCCTCCCTCTCTAAGGCCACTAGTCCTATAGGATTAGGGTCCCATCCATGTGACCCTATTTTACCTTAGTTACTGTATTAACTGGCTTTGCACTACTATAACAAAATACCTGGCACCAGCTACTTAGGAAGCAGAGGTTTATTTTGGCTCAGTTTATGGAGGCTCAAGTCCAAGATCAGGTGGCCTGTTGATCTGGGCCTCTGGAGGGTGGCATGAAGGCCATGGGGAGAACTTGTGTCACTGCAGGCAGTCACATCTCAAGCCAGGAAGTAGAGAGAGCCAGGCAGGTGGGATCCCGCTGTCCCCTTGGGTGACCCTCCCCAGTTACCTGGGACCTAGGAGTCCATAGTGCCTCCCAGCAATTCCACCCTGGGACCAAGCCTTGTTGGAGACCTGGGGCGGGGGGTGGGGGGGTGGGGCGGCTCCTGCTAGCCACAGCAGTGAGCTCCTAATGGCCATCTG